CCAGACTGGGGCTGGGAAGGTGGCTCAGTGGTAGAGCGCTTGCCTTGCATGCTCGAGGCCCTGGGTTCGATTCCTCAGCACCACATAAGCAGAAGGAAAAGAAAGCTGGAAGTGGCACTGTGGCTCAAGTGGTAGAGTGCTAGCTTTGAGCTGAAGAGCTGAGGGACAGCGCCCAGGCCCAGAGTTCAGGCCCATGACCCGACCCAAAAAATACATAAATAAATAAATAGCTAGCCCCTGCTGGCCTGGGACTCAAGATCCTCCCACCTTACCCACTCCATTAGTGTCATTATGTATGGGTATTACTATGCTTCCCTGTAACTGATTGTGTGGTATCTGCTTTGTGTATAGCAGTGTACCACTTTGTGTATAATACCCAGTTCTCAACTGCTCTTGAAGGAAACCAAGATACAGTACAATCACCTCAATTACCTGTGGTCCTGTCTCAAAAAAATAAAACGAAACCCCCTCCCCCCAAAAATAACAAGGATCAAAGCAATTTCTAAAAAAAACTTTTGTTCCCTACCTCTGACCCCCTTGGTCAGCCTCATCAGCCCAAAGACAGCCTCAGTCACTCATTGAGAGAGCCTGGATACAAACTGAGGATTCCGTTTTTGCCCACATCACACATTTCTCCAGGACAAGGGCCATACCTGGTTCATCTCTCTTTGCTCTCCTCAGGGCCTGGCTAATCCTAGGTAGTCAGTGAATGGCTTTGTGCAAGTGTATGGATGATTGACATGGCCCTTCCTTCTAGGCCAAAAGGTAAATGGATCCAAAAAATCGGGAACCAAGAAGCAGAAACAGCATCAGCGGATTCGCAAGGAGAAGCCTCAACCACACAACTTCACCCACCGTCTTCTGGCTGCAGCACTAAAGGTAAACAGTAGCCACAGCAGCATCCAGGGTGCCATGCACAGCCTCCAGCCCCACACATCTTTTCCTCAGCAGTAATCTGTGCATGTTTAGACCCCTCTACCTCTGACCAAAGTCAGCATATGTGTTCTGTCCTATCTCTTCTCATCCCAGCTGTCCTCAGCTCACTTAACCCAAGCAAGGGTTCCCCAGGCAGGGCTCCGATTCATGCTTTTCTCTAACCACTTCCCCAGAGCCACAATGGGAACATCTCTTGCATGGACTTCAGCAGCAACGGCAAGTACCTAGCCACCTGTGCAGATGACCGCACAGTACGCATCTGGAGCACCAAGGACTTCCTGCAGCGGGAGCACCGCAGCATGAGAGCCAATGTAGAGCTGGACCACGCCACCCTGGTGCGCTTCAGCCCTGACTGCAGGTGGGGCAGGATGGAGCCTCAGGGTTGCCCACCAAAGCTCAGCCCCTGTATTTGGCCTTCCCATGTCTGGGAGGGGAAATAAGGATAGAGAGATCCTGGGTAGTCTCCCTCAGGGTGACAGAAAGAGAACAAAGTAGCTGGATGTGGTAGCATATACCTCTGTGGTCCCAGCTACTTGGGAGGCAATTGAGGGAGGATCAAGGTCCAAGGCTGACCTGGGCCAAAGTACAAGGTATTTTTTAGATAGATCTGAAAAGTAACGCAAAAGGGCTGGGGGTGTGGCTCCAGTGGAAGAGCCAATTCAAAAAGACAGATGGACAGACACCAGATAGCCTGGGGCTTCTTGGGGGACTGCCTTTCACATACATAGTAAAGAAGCAGAGTAAAAATTGCTTCTACGAAAAGTGCCGGCGCTTGGCTTCCAAATGAAGTAGGAAGCCCTCATGGTTTCTTGACTTCTGGTAACTATGGGGTTCCGTTATAAGGATAGATTGTGGGGTGTGAGGAGGAATTTGGCATAGGACCTCAAACACACAGGCCTCTGTGCCCAAATGGAGGCATGACCTGTCTGCTGCCCATCTCTAGAGCCTTTGTGGTTTGGCTGGCCAACGGCGACACCCTACGTGTCTTCAAGATGACCAAGCGGGAAGATGGAGGCTTTACCTTCACTGCCACGCCCGATGACTTCCCTAAGAAGCACAAGGCGCCTGTCATCAACATTGGCATTGCTGACACAGGTGGGGATCAGGGGAGATGGAGCTCACCCTACATCTCAGTCCCTGTGTGACCTAGGGCCTAATGCTCCTGGAGAGCCACAGGCCTCGTGTTCAGAACAGAGGCCCAGGAGGAGGGAGGACTGGGAGTAGAGGCCTCACAGTGTCATCATGACACTGAATGACAGTTGCTCAGGGCCTTGCAGCAAGCTCATGTCCTTCCCTCCCGTCCAGGAAAGTTCATCATGACTGTGTCTAGTGACACCATGGTCCTCATCTGGAATCTGAAGGGTCAGGTGCTGTCCACTATCAACACCAACCAGATGAACAACACCTACGCTACTATCTCCCCGTGTAGCAGGTGAGGGTCGGGGGAAGAAACTGGGGCAGCTCGGTAACAGAGGGAGTCTGGTGCCAGCTCTAGCTCTTATGCTAGGATTCTGTATCGGCTGCTGCCTCCTCAGTCTCTCTTCTCACCTGTGAGGCTTAGAGGTTGGAGTGGGGGTATTGGTCATCTTAGAGTGAGCTCTAAGGTTAAACTGAGGTCACAAACATACAAGAGTACTTTTTTTTTCGGTCGGTCACGGGGCTTGAACTCTGGGCCTGGGCCCTGTCCCTGAGCTCTTCAGCTTAAGGCTAGTGCTCTACCACTTTGAGTCACAGTGCCACTTCCAATTTTCTGGTAGTTAATTGGAGATACAACTTTCCTGCCATGGCTGGCTTTGAACTATGAGCCTCAGATCTCAGCCTTCTGAGTAGGATTACAGGTTTGAGCCACCAGTGCCCAGCTACAAGAGCACTTTTTAGATCTTGGAGTTGGGCATTGGTGGCTCACACCTATAGTCCTAGCAACTCAGGAGACCAAGTTCTGAGGATCACAGTTTGAAGCCAGCCCAGACAGGAAGAGTCCATGAGACTTATCTCCAATGAACCACCAAATAGCCAGAAGTAGGGCTGTGTCCCCAGCACCACGAGAAAGAAGAAACTCTCGGAAAACAGGTGTAATGTCTTTAAAATTCAGTTGTCAAGGAACGTGGTTTGTGTGGCAGGTTCGTGGCCTCTTGTGGCTTTACTCCAGATGTGAAGGTCTGGGAAGTCTGCTTTGGGAAGAAAGGGGATTTCCAGGAGGTGGTGCGAGCCTTTGAACTGAAGGGTCACGCCGCAGCTGTCCACTTCTTTGCCTTCTCCAATGACTCCCGGAGGTGAGTGAGGGAGGGAATGTGCCCGTGTGTTCCTGGGGGCTCTGGATCCCAGGTGCCACCCTATCTGTGCCTGGCCTTCTGGTGGGGACATCAGGGCTCAGGCTGGCCTTCCTGTGTTGTAGGATGGCCTCTGTGTCCAAGGATGGCACGTGGAAACTGTGGGACACGGACGTGGAGTACAAGAAACAGCAGGACCCCTACTTGCTGAGGACAGGCCGCTTTGAAGAGGCAAGCACCATGCCATGCCGCCTGGCCCTGTCCCCTGACACCCATGTGTTGGCCTTGGCCAGTGGCACCAGCATCCATCTCTTCAACACTCGTCGGGGTGAGAAGGAAGAGTACTTCGAGCAGGTCCATGGGGAGTGCATCACTGATTTGTCTTTTGACATCACAGGCCGCTTCCTGGCCTCATGTGGGGACCGGGCGGTGCGGCTCTTCCACAACACCCCTGGCCACCGGGCGGTGGTGGAGGAGATGCGGGACCTCCTGAAGCGGGCCTCCAGCGAGAGCACCCGACAGCGGTTGCAACAGCAGCTGGCCCAGGCCCAGGAGGCCCTGAAGAGCCTGGGGGCCCTGAAGAAATGACTGGCTTGGGATCTTGTGTTCCTAGGTGCCTATGGGCAGAAACCTTCTAAAAGGCGTTCCCCTGGTGGCCCTCTCCTCCTTTGTCCCATTGAACTATTCTTGCCTCCTCAGATCTCTCTCTCTCCTTACTGGTTTTGCCTCCTCCCAGACTGGAAGCAAAGGTGCTTCTTTTTCTTGGGTTCAAAGGGTGGTGGTGTTTCCCCCCAGCACTGAGGAGAAGGGGTAGAGAGAAGAGACAGGGCATACCTTGTCATCTGCAAAACTAAGGATATATTTGAGCCATGTCTCTCAAGTCTTCAGGCTGAGATGAAGTATACAGCTAAAAACCAGGCAGCTGTGTTAGGAGGTGAGATAGTAGGGGATCTTCAGCACACCCATGCTGCAGGGGTGGGCAGGGCAGGGCTGGGCTGGGCTGGACTGGACTGGACTGGACTGGACAGTCTTCATCTGGGCTTCCCCACAAGAAATAATGAAGGCCAACCATTCTGGGCCTCTGTTTTCTTATTTGTAAAATGGGAACTAATGCTTTCTGCGACCTTCAGGAGTTGTAAGGTTAAGAGGGTAGAACTTTCTGCCTTTGGAAGAGAAGGTATTGGATTCCGTCCAGTGTTGGGAATCTAACTATGCTTGGAAACTGTATTAGAAAGAAACACATTTCCTTGGGAAGGGAAAATTTACTGCAATTCCATCCTATATTGTATGTGTCATGTTTGGTCCCAGCCTGGGACTCCCGCTCTTTGGAGAGGAGGGGGCTGTTAACCACTTCGTCACATGTTTCTTGGGACCAGTGCAGGACCAGGTTCGGGTGATAAATAGGAAAAACTGTCAAAAATGGTTGATGGGAGAGAAACAAAGTGGCATTTATGAAATGCCTTAGTTTGTGGCTGCCGTAAACTGTTGTAAAGGTCAAGGGGCAGGGGGGGGACTGGGTGAAGGCAGACCTGATAAGTTTTTGTTCTAGAATCTACCAGTGGCTTCAGGACTGCTTGCTTGTGGGAAGTAAGGGAGATGAAGAATCCAGACAAAAATGTCTCTTGATTCCCACACTGGAAGCGGGACCCCTCTTCAGCCACTCCAGTGCTGTGGAATGGAAGGAGGGGCCCCAGCTTTGAGGTCAGTTGACCAACTCTTTCCCTTAGTGCCTCCATCCACCACCCCTCTGCTGGCCCACAGGAAATTCTGTGATTCCTCTTCAGACAAAGAAGGAATTTGCCTTTCCATCTTTTCCTGTTGCTGTACTGGCCCTAGCCACTGCCACAAAGTGTGCTTCCAAAATATAGCCAAGCTGGGCGCTGATGGCTCACACTTGTAATCCTTAGCTATTCAGGAGGCTGAGATCTGAGGATCGCATTTCAAAGCCAGCCCTGGCAGGAAAGTCTATGAGACTTACCTCTAATAAACCACCCGTAAACCGGAAGTGGCACTGTAGCTCAAGTGGTAGAAGAGTGCTAGCCTTGAGCTGACGGACTGAGGGACAGTTCCTAGGCCCAGAGTTCAAGCCTCATGACCAACAACAAAAAAAATGCAGCCATCTAGCAGTCCTCCATTTCCTATGTTCTCTCATGAAGTTGCTTCTGCATAGCAGATCTCATTCCTGACAGAGCCCTTTAAACGCTTCCCATCTATGACTCCCCATGGCTTGCAGCCCAGGCTAAACCACTGGCCTCTGCTGGTCCCCTCTCTGTGGAAGTACTTTTCCTTCCTTTCCTGTCTAATGGCAGCTTTTGTCCACCCTGCCCACTACTAACACACCACATGTTGCACTGGTCTATTTTCCTGATTTTGAGTTTGACTGGAATGATATTTTCTTCTGGGGCCTCAGGGCAACAGGTAGAATGCCAGCTGGATACCGAGTGTATAAATTGTCCTGGTAGGACAGAAGGAATTAGTTATATCAGCCGTTTGCTGGTGCTCATGAGCCCTGGGTGAGGGACAAGAAGCTACCATCAATTGTTCATGATGCTGGCACAAGTTGCTCACTTCATCAAAGCTAGGTTTTGTTCATTTTTAAAAATGAACACTAGGGGCTGGGAAGGTGGCTCAGTGATAGAGCGCTTGCCTTGCATGCCTGAGGCCCTGGGTTCGATTCCTCAGCACCACATAAGCAAAAAGAAAAAAGCCAGAAGTGGCGCTGTGTGGTAGAGTGCTACTTGAGCTGAAGAGCTGAGGGACAGCACCCAGGCCCAGAGTTCAGGCCCCACGACCGGACCAAAAAAAAAAAGAAAAAAGCCGGAAGTGGCGCTGTGGCTCAAGTGGTAGAGCGCTAGCCTTGAGCTGAAGAGCTGAGGGACAGCGCCCAGCCCAGAGTTCAGGCCCACAACTGGACCCCCCTCCCCCAAAAAAATGGTAGAATGTTTGCCTAGCATGCCTGAAGCCCTGGGTTCAATTCCACATAAACAGAAAAAAACAGAAGTGGCGCTGTGGCTCAAGTGTTAGACCACTAGACTTGATCAAAAACAGCTCAGGGACAGTGTCCAGGCCCTGAGTTCATACCTGTGACTGGACCACACCAAACGCTGGCATGGGCCAGATACAATCCACCATTTTCTCATTGGCAAACCTGTGCATTGTTGAATCTGCTGGGATGTGAGACTCAGCCTGAATCTTTGTCTGCTTTGTCTTGGGCCCCAGGCACAGTAGCTGGGCCCCTGTAAGCCCCAAGCCCTCCATAAATGCTGTACTGAAACCAAGAGGACAGAAAGCCTGCTATCCTCCCTTAGCTTCCTGCACACCCAGTTTGCATTGTTCTCTTCCTGATCAGATTTGCCCTGATACCCTCCAGGTGGGCCTGGTGAATACTGCAGCAGTGGCGGTTCCTTCTATGGCACACACAGGAAAGGAGGTGATCAGGAATGTTTTTACTGAAATCAGAAGTCTAGTTGCAGCCAAGCCACTTTTTGACTAGAGCAGGTAGATAGACTGCTTGCCTTTTCTTGATTTTGTTTCCTTATCTGTAAAATGGGAATAAATATTGTCCTGTCTACCTTGTTGCATTATGAGTTTCCAATGAAGTAAATGCAAAGCTAGTGACATTACCAGTGATGGTGAGTTTGGTTTGATTTTTTTTTTTCCAGGGGGTGGGGGGTTGTACTGAGGATTGAACTCAGGACTTTGGGCTTGCTAAATGGGTGTTGTACCACTTGAGCCATACCTTTAACTCCCTTTAGGGTTGGTTATTTTTGAGGTAGATCTTGCTTTATGTTCAGGCTGCCCTGGACTGTGATCCTCTTACTTGTGCTTCTCCCACATAGCTGAGGTTGACAGATGAAGCCACCATCCATTCATTCCCCCATACCTGTAATAACAGGCCTGTGCCTCTGCTCCTGACTTTGGTTGAGATGGTGTCTTCAGAACTTTTTGCCCAAGCTAGCTTCTAGCCATGATCCTCTGATCGCCACCAAATTAGCTAGGATTATAGGCTTTTATGCTGGTCTGGTCCTAGGGCTTGAACTCAAGGCACTCTCCTTGAGCTTTAGTGTTTAAGGCCTATATTCTACCACCTGAGCCATAGCTCTAATTCTGGCTTTTTGGCTTGGAGATACAAATCTCATGAACTTTCCTGCCAGGGCTGGCTTTGAACCACAATCCTCAGATCTCAGCCTCCTGAGTAACTAGGATGGCCTGAGTGAGCCCCTGGCCTGGCTTCCATGCATGTTTCCTGTAGTTCATGAGGCAGTGCAGACCCTCCCTGGTGGGTAAGTGACTGACCAGTCCGTAAGTCCCTTGGATTTTGCTGGAACTTTAGAAAAGTGGGAAATATTTGGTTTTTATTTATTTTTGTTCAGTTGGGGGGCTTGAACTCAGCCTGGTCTCTGGTCTCTGTCCCTGAGCTCTTCAGCTCATAGCTAGTTCTCTACCACGAGCCACAGTGCCACTTCCGGTTTTCTGAGGGTTAATTGAAGATAAAGAGTCTCATGGACTTTACTGCCTGGGCTGGCTTTGAACCACAATCCTCAGATCTCAGCCTCCTGAGTAGCTAGGATTATAGGCATGAGCCACCAGCACCCAGCTTAGAAAAGTGAAAAGATTTTGAGGTCTTCTGCCAGGACTGCTTACCAAGTAGGATGTAAGCTTGTTACCATGCATAGTGCTGAGAATGAAGCTGACGAGAAATGAGAGCCAAAAGATGTAAGAGGTCTTGCTAATCCAGTGGCCACTGAGCCCAGACAACGCCACCAGTCTATGCTGTACTTTAAGCCCATTTGGTCCTGGTTATGTGCATAGGGTCAGGGCTTGACCTTTCATTACTACAATCCCAAAGCTGGTAAGAAGAGATAGCATGCCTAGATTGAGTTGGTTGTGATGTTGGAGATCAGACCTAGCTAGGGTCTTGGGACATAAATACTCCCTGCTTTGCTACACCTCCAGACTAGAGATTTACCTTTGCATCTGTGCACTGCTAAAGTATGTAACTTTAACCAGTAGGCATCACCTTAGCATTTGTAAAGTTAGGACAAGAATACTATTGGAGAGATGCTGGGAAGGTGGCTCAATGGTAGAGTGCTTGTCTCACATGCATGAGGCCCTGGGTTCAATTCCTCAGCACCACATAAGCAGGAAAAGGCCAAATGTGGCTCTGTGGCTCAGTTGGTAAGAGCGCCTTGAGCTGAAGAGCTGAGGGACCGTGCCCAGACCCTGAGTCAAGCCCCGGGACTGGCGCCAGTGGCTCAAGCCTGTAATCCTAGCTATTCAGGAGGCTGAGGCTGAGATCTGAGGATCGTGGCTTAAAGCCAGTCCAGGCAGGAAAGTCAATGAGACTTTTTTGTTTTGGGTGGGGGGTCCAGTCATGGGGCCTGAACTCTGGGCCTGGGCACTGTCCCTCAGCTCTTCAGCTCAAGGCTAGCGCTCTACCACTTGAGCCGCAGCGCCACTTCTGGCTTTTTTCTTTTTGCTTATGTGGTGCTGAGGAATCGAACCCAGGGCCTCATGCATGCAAGGCAAGCGTCTACCACTAACCCACCTTCCCAGCTCCAGTGAGATTCTTATCTCCATTAAACAGCCAGAAAACCAGAAGTGCTGTGGCTCAAGTGGTAGAGCGCTAGCATTGAGCTGAAGAGCTGAGGGGCAGCACTCAAGTCCCAGAGTTCAAGTCCCATGACCGACAAAAAAAAAAAAAAAAGAATCTCACTCCAGCTCAAGCAGTCTGGAACTTGAATTCCTCTGACCTCAGCCCCCAGAGTGCTAGAATTACAAGTGTGCCCTACAACACTTTTCTTTCCTAGTAGCTCTTGTAAGGCAAAAATTATGTCCATATTGCGCGTAGAAAACTCCAACTTTGGAGATTAGTTGGCAAGAAAGACTTCAACTCTGAGTCTTAGTATAGAGCTCACGCTTGCCCCTAGTGATCCCTGTAATCTTGATTTTCCCATTGAAAGGTAAGGAAGGTCTCTGGGAACAGGGACTGCAGTGTTTGGTTTCTTAGTGCTAGAGGTAGAACTAAGGGTCTTAAGCATGATGGCTGAGTGGTCTACCACTGAGCTCTGCCCCTGCCCTGCATCTCTTTTTGTTGCACCACAGGAGTGTGAGCACAGTAGACCATGATTTTGCCTTTGCTGGGGAATATGGCAAATGTTTATTGACTGCTCAATAGTGAATGAACTCACGACCGACTGTGTTGTGCTGTTACCAATAAAAATCAGTTACTTTCTAGGTTAACTGCTTTTTGGTTTTTTTTTTGGTCCGGTCGTGGGGCCTGAACTCTGGGCCTGGGCGCTGTCCCTCAGCTCTTCAGCTCAAGGCTGGCGCTCTACCACTTGAGCCACAGTACCACTTCCGGCTTTTTGGTTAACTGCTTTTTGGGTTCATGCCCTGAGTGTGATTTTCTCAGGGACTGATGATTCCTGAGAGAGAGGAAGTAATCAAAGTTCCAGAACTACAAAGCCAGACCCTGAGGTTTGGAGGTCATGGCCACTTGGAGCTTTGACTCACTTGCATCAGGGCTAGATCTATAGAGACAAGGAAATGTAGCAGCCACAGAAAGGCAGACATGCAGGGGACTGGGGGCTTCAGATCATCAGAGCCCCCACTCATTCTTCCCCTAAGATCTCCAAGATTTTTTTTTTTTTGGTCCAGTCGTGGGGCCTGAACTCTAGGCCTGGGAGCTGTCCCTCAGTTCTTCAGCTCAAGGCTAGCGCTCTACCACTTGAGCCACAGCGCCACTTCTGGCTTTTTTCTTTTTGCTTATGTGGTGCTGAGGAATCGAACCCAGGGCCTCAGGCATGCAAGGCAAGCGCTCTACCAATAAGCCACCTTCCCAGCCCCTTACCAGGTCTTTTACATCCAGCTCACTCACAGAGTGTGAGGTGCAGCATCCTCTGCCTCGGAATCTGCAGACTGTGCTAACACTGTAATGGAGACACAGGCATACCTACCAAGGTCTCTATCCAGCCAATAGGTTTGACAACCCCAGTAGGTCTTTGGTTTGTCTTCCCCCTCTCCGCCCCTCCCCCCCCCCAGTCCTGGTGCTTGAACTCCAGGATCTGGGTACTGTCCCTAAACTTCTTGAGCCACAGCACCACTTCCGACTTTTTCTGTTTATGTGGTCCTGAGGAATCAAACCCCGGGTTTCATGCATGCTAGGCAAGCACCGTACCACTAAGCCACATTCCCAAACCTACTTGGTTTGCTCTTTTATTTTTATTTTTTGTTGGTTGTGGGCTTGAACTGTAAGCCTGGGCTCTGCCATGAACTCTTGCAGATTAAGGCAAGTGCTCTACTACTTGAGCCATAGTACCACTTCTGGTTTTCTGGTGGTTAATTGGAGATAACAGTCTCACAGACTTTCCTGCCTGGGCTGGCTTTGAACCATGATCCTTATATCTTAACCTCCTGAGTAGCTAGGATTACAGGTATAAGCAACCAGTGCCCAGCTTGATTTGATTTTTGTGATGGGATCTCTGTGTAGCCCAGACTGGCCTGAGACTCCAGGGATCAAGAAATCTTGTTTTAGCCTCCTGTGATGCCTGGACTACAAGCCTGCATCATCATGTCTGATATGTTTCAGGCATTTGAAGCTCAGATATAGGATAAAACTTTAAGCAACAAACTCAAGATGACAGATGTTAACTCTGAAAGTGATGATTGATGATGGTGATTGATGGAGTCTGGTTTTTGAGTCCTATTTCCAGTTTCTAACAAAGTAGGTTCTGAGCTGGGCTTGACAGAAAAGTCCCTCCTTCCAAAATAGCCAGGAAGGTGGCTCAGTGGTAGAGTGCTTGCCTTGCATGCATAAGACCCTGGGTTCAATTCCTCAGCACCACATAAGCAGAAAAAGCCAGAAGTGGCGCTGTGGCTCAAGTGGTAGAGCTCTAGCCTTGAGCTGAAGAGCTGAGGTACAGTGCCCAGGCCCTGGAGTTCAGGCCCCACAACTGACAAAAAATAAAAATAACCAGCAAAAGCAGTTGTGGCTCAAGTGATAGAGTGCCAGGCCAGCAAACAAGCCAAAGGAGAAGACCAAGTTCAAACCTCAGTACTGAATAAAAAAGTAAAAATTTAAAAAGGGGGGAGGGGGATTCCTGTACTGGTGGCTCAAGCCTGTAATCCCAGCTACTCAGTAGGCTGAGATCTGAGGATCATGGTTTGAAGCCAGTCTGGGATGTCCATGAGATTTATCATCTATAAACTAACAAAAAGCCCGAAGTGCAGCCATGGCTCAAGTGGTAGAACACCAGGTTTTAGATAAGCGTTCAGGGACAGTGCCCAGGCCCTGAGTTCAAGCCCTGGTACAGACACACAGCGCACAGGCAGGACAGTGGCACCAGAAGCCAAAAGTATTCCATCTGCTAGGCGCCTTATGGTTTACATGGCTCATCCTCCTGCCTCACCAATTTTCAGAATCAGGGCTGGGTGTGCCCTGGGAAAGGAACCGTAAGCTCACACACCCTGAGGTCTAGTGGTTTCCACATGAGAGAGGAGGGTGCTGTGCAGACACAGCCGAGGGCAGGGCTGTAGGGGGGAGCCAGGGGAGCCCAAGAGCTTTGGAGGCTAAGGTAGCTTTTGCCCAGCGTGCAGGTGCAGGACGCAAGCGCAGAGGAGGTGAAATCCTGCAGAAAGGTGTGAAATTCCCCACGTCTGCAGAGTAGATTGGCTAGGGCTGATGGGGCCCGCCTGCAAGAAAGGGAATATGGTACAGAACCTTGATGGCTTTAAGAACATCAAAAGCAGCAGGGGCAGGAAGTTGATAATCTCTGAACCCCAAGCCTCAGGGAAAGACCGAGAACTGCACTAGCAGCACCTCGCGCCTCGCCTGGCCCATGGCACGTGCAGCCGCCAACAGCACACCTTGGGCCCTAAGGGCGCCCGAGGGCCTCTGGGGCCCGGCTGGGCCGCCCGGGGCAGGGTGCGCAGGCGCGCGAGTCCTCC